GAGAGAGAGAGAGAGAGAGAGAGAGAGAGAGAGAGAGAGTGAATGTGTATATGTTGTCTTGACAGTAACAGGCTGATTTAAAAGTTGAATCCTGAAACTGTAAAGTATATATTTACCCCGTCTGCCCCCTTTTCTCTCATTCTCATCCAGACTGCTCTAGAACTGGCCCTGAAGACTCCGGCTGAAATGGGCATCGACGGAATCATCATTTGGAGCAGTTCCAGTATATTCCACACAGACCAGCGAGCTCTTTGCAACAGACTGGATGTATACATCAACAAAACCCTTGGCCCTTTCGTCAAAGACCTCAAGACCCGCGTCGACAAGTGCTCAAGGGAGCGATGCAGCGCTAGAGGCAGATGTGTCCACAACGATTATTATCAGCAGATCCAAAAGGTTTCTCAACTCAGATTTCAGGGTACGAAAACGGAGGACGACCAGACGGCGGGAGCTGCAAAATCGGGGGGAACTTCTTCCAGTACTGCGTCTGTTAACCCTACTGTGTCTTCTAAACCTACTGCGTACTCTGACCCTACTATGACTGCTAATCCTACTATGACCTCTAACCCTACTGTGACCTCTAACCCTACAATGACCTCTAACCCTACAACTCAAAGCTCACATGACGAAAACGACAATAAGGCTAGGTCTGCTAACCCTTCCGCACCTGTTAACCTTGCTGTGTCCGTTAACCCTGTTGTGACGGTTAACATCACGGTGTCCGTTAACCCTACTGTTGTAATGTCACAATGTGGAAACGACAACCCCACTGTGTCTGTTAACCCTATTGTAACCGTTAACCCTACCGTGAGCATTAACCCTATTGTAACCGTTAACCCCACAGTGTCTGTTAACCCTACTGTAACCGTTAACCCTACTGTGAGTGTTAACCCTAATGTGTCGGTTAACCCTGCTCTATCTGAAAAATACAACGTGTCCGTTAACCCTACTGTATCCGTTAACCCTACTGTGTCCGTTAATCCTACTGTGACCGTTAACTCTAACGAGTCCGTTAACCCTACAACTGATGGTTCACAGTGTGGACACGACAGTACCGGGACCGTTAACCCTCCAACTGCGAGTCCAGACGTGAGCGGAAACGACAGTATCTTCTCCGATGACTACTCGTGTCTCTGTTTCGAGGGCTACTCTGGAGACAGCTGTGAGCAGGAGTTGTAGACGGCAGAAGCTATTCGGAGACGTCTCCGGCGAGCACCCAGGAACTATTCGGAGACGTACTCCCTTACACATCGTATTATGCACTGCTTTGGGTTGGGGGAGGGGTCAAATTGCTGCAGATCACACATATAGCCACTGAAACTGTCGCAAATCAATTATTTTCAAGAACATTTCAAACTTAACTGCAAAATATCAAATTATGGGTTAAAACAGGGGGGGCATACCCCCCCCCCTCCCCTCCTCAGATTATTTTACTTGGTCTAGAGGCACAAAGCATTTTGCTTGGTCTATCTCCGTCGGAGGCGTCTCCGAATAGATACTGCGGTCGTAGACAGGGACCGCATTTAAATTTTCAAGATGTATCCCTATATTTCGTAGGTGAATTTCGCTATCCACGTATGGAGCATTAGGAAACTTTCGAGAAACGGTGGAAAAAACACTCTTTTTTATAAGTCTTACGCGTTTTAGTCTCTTGATTTTTACAATTTGTGTAAGTTTGTCATGAATTGGTCGCTTTTAAGCACAAGGGGGCTATCCTAAAAAATGCAGTTTTGAGAAAACCGAGGGTAAAGTTTTGGCCCCTTGTTCAGTTTCTTTAAAATACAAGGAGAGTTTTCTCTATAACCAAACAAATATAGCCACCAATGAAAGCAAACTTCTTTTAGCGAAAGGGCAATACCCACTTTTAATAAAGGTCAAGATTTCTGGAAACCCCCGAAATATAGGTTACCCCGCTTTTCCTTAAAATCGACCAATTATTGGTGCCAATTAAAATGTGAGCTGATTTTAAAGATTTTGTTTAGGTCAAAATTTAATGCCGCAATTTTAAGATCAGAGTTTTCAAATTATGTTCCATACGCAGATAGCTTACTGCAATGACGGTTAGTGTTAGGGACAGTTTACAAATGGCATCAGCTCAAAGGGGGAAGG